AGCCAGAAAGGATTCTGTAGTCAAATGCTCACGGGCTGCCACAGGAAGAGTCACCAGAATGAAGGGTGTCCCTGCTGAACGAGCAGTCACATGAGAACATGTGGGCACTCCATCCCAGTCCAGGGACCAGGGGCGACCTCCCCTAACTCGGGTGGCGGAACCCCTTCCTGTCATCTGCTAGCTCCTGGTGACTCTTGGGCAGCCACCGTAGACGGGTTGCGGATCCACAGCTGCTGCCCACGCATCCTGTGCAGCCCCGCGTGTTCCTGCCGCCCCTGCCGTCTTCACCCCAGGCCCTGGCTCCCTGCTGGACCTCCCCCTGCGCCAGGCACTCGCCCACACTGGCTTCCAGCCGTGGCCACCCTGGGAATGGTCTCATGGGGTGGAAAGCTCTTAGGATACTTTACTGGGACTAGAGTTTCATTGTGGAAAATCTCCCCAGGCTCCAACCGCTGACTCATCCCTTGAGCCTTGGCCAGGAAATCAGTTTCCAAGATTGCACAAACTCACATGCAGCAAAGCTATCAATATGTTCACATTTGTATCCATGTCAATCTCCTTTCCTTATTCCTTGATATAATGAGTTATCTAATTACAGTGACATCTGTTGAGGGGGACTCTAGCTTCCCTCTCTCCACCCAGAACCCAGTACAGGGCTCTTTCGGGGGAGATCACGTGCTGTGGGGCTTGTGTGGGAGAGGCAGAACCCCAACAGGAATCAGCCCGGGCTGCCACGTGGTTTTTGTTATCCCTGGAAGCCAGAGACCTGATATCACCAGCACCGTATCAGAGAAGGACAGACCCCCAGACTGAACCAACAGTAGAGCTACGGAGTCATGGCCCCTGCCCTTAGATCTCTACTCTGAGCCCAGGCCAATGGAGAGGTCAAGGCAGAAGAAGGTAGAGTGCATGTTGGTTGCTCTGCCTTTGTCTGAAAATTGTCACACAAAAACTTGTTTTAGCCTGAAAGTGAATCTTCAGGGGATCACCACCACAGGACCTGGAGATGACAAGGTCTCTTCTGTCTCCTATGACCATCCCCCAAAGCCAGATTTGAAGCTGTGCCCAACATTCATTCATTCAACAAATATTTATGGAGCACTTGCCCCACGAGGGAAACAGGGAAATGGTGGCAAGAGCTGGAGAGGGATCTCAGAGAGACCGAGGAGATGGGCCATCTGGTCTAGATCTTGCATTTTGCCATGGCCCCAAGGCATCTTTAGGAACCAAGGAGTCTTCACCTCTCAGCTGGATCCCAGGAGGACTCATGGTGATATAGCCCAATGTGCCAAACCACAGATTGGTCAGGGTCAAAGTCTCCCCCGCTGAACTTGGATTATTTCACTGGAGCTTTGCATTGCTCCATTTCCCTGGGGGATTCTGAACAGGTTAGATTCATGTTGTCAAGTTTCGGTGTCTTCTGGGTAGGTGGGGCTGCTGTACGTGCTTCTCACAGAATTTCTCTTTTTGACAACTTAAGTCGTTAATTAATGCCTAGAAGCAGAGGATCCAACTCTACCCGGAGCCTTTGCTAGATTCGATAAGATCTTCTCTATGTCCTGGTACTCAGTGTCCTTGGGACGTATTTCTTCAATTAAAAAAAATTCTTCCACTCATTTTTCTAGGAAATTCCTCATGGGGTAGTCACTAAAAAACAAGTCTCTTGAGAATCTAGTGATTCTCAACAACAATAGAACTTTGGGACTATGTAGGACTTCGAAACCATTCAAACCAAATTCCTCATTTTGCAGAAGAGAAAATAAAGGCACAGATTCAGGTTTTGAGAACATACACTTCAGGTTTATTCAAAATCTTAGGATCCTGAAATTACCCATAGTGCTTGTTTTCCCCTTTAAAAATCAAAGTATCCTTGTATACAAATAATATTTTGTTTACAGGACCACAGTTCAATTCTGTCTTAAGGACTGCAGTTGTCCTAAAGACGGGAGATTGGTTTCAGGACCCCCATAGATACCAAAAACTGCAAATGCTCAAGTCCCTAATATAAATTAGGTATTTATATAATAACTACATGCATCTTCCTTCATGTTTCAAATCCTCTCTAGATTGCTTATAATACCTTATGGTGAAATGCTATGTAAAAACAGTTATTGTTCTGAATTATTATTCTGAATTGTTTAGGAAATAAGGAGGGGAGAAAAAGTCCACCTGTTCAGTAGAATCAACAATAGCAGGACTAATCCCATCATATGCATCAGTCATGATGGAACATGTGCGATCCTGGGTTGGTCACATCCCTGAATGTGGAAACCACAGACATGGAGAGTCAGCTATGGATCCATTCAATGATTTCACAAATATTCATTGATCACATACTTCATGAATGCATTTTACCACTCACGGTGGAAACAATGAATTAGGGCCCAGTCCTGGTGCTCAAAAGGCTCAGATTCCTTTGAGCTGGTGAGTCGGAGAGGTGTGATTCAAAGTCAGGCAGTCTGGTGCCAAGATGAAAGGTCATCATCGCATGGTAGAGCGCTTGCCTAGCATGTGTGAAACACTGGGTTTGATTCTTAGAACTCATATAAGTAAATAAAATAAAGGTCCATTGACAATTTAAAAAATAAATTAAGAAAAAAAAAAGGTCATCATCTTTATCATCTTTGCAACTAGAGAGAAGTGTGTGAAGAGGTGTGAAGGATCCAGGTTGGAAAGGTCCCTTCCAGGTGGGGACCTCAGGGAAGGCTTCATGGAGAATTGGCCCTGGGTGGGGGGGGATTGGGCTAATGAACCTATGGTATCAACTTGGTGACCTCAGTGTAGTGTGGAGGTGGACGTGGAGGTCAATGCATCAGGGCAGTGTGGCTCCACATGTAAGGGACATTCTGAGAGGCCCCTGTCCCAGCAGTCTCCTTGCGCTGAACACTCCTGCTGCAACCAACCCCTCCACCCACTTCCTCTGGAAAGAGGTGTGATCACTCTCTGCTTACACCCCTTCTGGAGCTGCCCAGGGCTCTCAGGATCCACCACTGACTTCTGCATGCTCTTTCCTCCATTCACATCTCTGTGCTCATTCTTTCCGTTTCTCAGCCTACTGCAGATGAACTGTAAGAACCGAGTCCTTAAAACCTTCAGTGTTTCCCTGTTGCCCAGAGGGCGGCAGCTCTCCAGCTTGGACCTCCAATCTGTCCGGAGTCCACACCTGCATATCCAGCCTCCCTCTCCCCAAAGAAACATCCTTCTCCAGCTGAGTTCTTGGGAATTCAGGAGCAAGACCTGCTCACGGCTACCCCCACACCCTAGCTCACCACCCTCCCCCCCAAAAGGAGAGAGCCATGGTTGGGATATGCTTTGAGTTTGTCCTCTGGAGGTCCATGCCCTGGAAACTTGGTCCCCAGTGTGATGCTGTTGAGGTGTGGAAACTTGAAGAGGTGGGGGTCTAGTGATAGCTCATGAGGTCAGGAGCAAGCACTGCGCTCGGAAGAGATTAATGCTGGTCTCACAGAGTTAATTCTCCAGAGAGTAGGTTGTTTTAAAGTGAGCCCACCCCTGTGCTTGGTTGGTACCCTTCCCATTTTTCTGCCACGTTGTGACAGTCAGGGGCTTTTGCCAGGACAGCAGTGCCATACTATGTGGACTCTCTAGCCACCAAAACTGTGAGTCAGGCACACCTCTTTATTTTTTTATTTTTATTTTTTTTACACCTCTTTACTTTATAAAATGCCTAGTGTCAGCTATTTTTTTTTTATGGCAATGCAAAATGAACAAGAACAGAGACATCTTTTTTTTAATCTGGCTTCACCCACTCCCTCCGGTCACACCTTTTAATTCTCTGGCCATTCATTTAACCACACCTTGGCTTCTGCTTTTCCACACCCAGCACATGGTGACTCCTCGATCTTGCCCCCTGGACCACGGCATCAGGCCCTTGCATTTCCAAGGGGGTGTGTCTGGAGTGCCATCCCTGGGCCTTTGCAGAGCTGATTATTTTATTTCAATGTGTTTTTGTTGGCAGGAGTCTGGTGCATCACAACACATTCAACTCAATGTGTGATGTGCATCATACAGTGCTCTTCTGAGAGGAGTAAACAGTGAGCCGAGCAAGCGGCTGTCAGTTGTCTCAAAATGTCTCCATTCTGAGAATTGCAGACTGCAGATAGGAGCTGTCAATCAACAGTCCTGAACATTGTTAAAACTGGCAAAGACTCTTCAATCTTTTCTTAAGAAGAAAGTAAAAACTCCTCAGCCAGGTCCCTAAAATCAGGGTCTCTCAAGAGCTCACCAAGCAATCAACCAATCAATCAATTAATAAACATTTATGGGTTGCCTACCACGTGCCAGTCGCTTTGATAGCTGCCACCTAGGATACTGAACCCCAAATACAAACTTCTTCTTCTCCTGGACCTTGCATTTAGGAAGCAACTATCAGGGGTCAGTAGACAGGATGGCCCACAGGCCAAAACCAGCTTGCTGTCTGTTTTTGTAAATAAAGTTTTATTGGAACACAGCCATGTTCATTTATTTACATACTGTTTATGGCTGTTTGCGCACTACGACGGCAGAGTTGAGTAGTTGTGATGGAGACCGTATGGCCTGCAAAGTCTAAAATATTTACCATCTGGCCCTTTGTTGAAAAAAGTTTGCCAACCTATGGCCTAAAAAAAATAGGTATCTTCTATGTCAGGTGATGGTTCAGGTGTGAAGACAGAAAAGATGAGAGGGGTGTCCTAGGATGGGATGTCCAACGGTGCAACAATGCGGCCGTGGAGGAAAGGGGAAGTGAAGGGGAGTGGGGAGCAAACAACCAAGGAAAGAAGACTGGGGGAAGAGCAGGTGCAGAGCATGCCACGAAAACCTGCTACCTGGTGCATTCCAAAACTCTGAGACGCTGGTGGGGTTGGAGCCGAGAGATGAAGAGGAGAGAGACAGGTGAGGTCAGAGAGATGGTGAGGAGCCAGACGGGGGCGCATGTGAAAGTCACGGCATGGACTTGTGAGTCCATTGTAGATCTGGGGTGAAACTGACTTTTGTGTTTGAAGGATTTCTTCGACTACTGCATCGTGAGAGGAGCACAAGGTCAAGTGGAGAAGCAGAGTGGCCAGTGAGGAGGTTCCTGCAATAGTCCAGGTAAGAGATGGCTGGTGCCTTGGGCTAGGCTCCTCGCCCTCAGGTGAGAAGTGGTTCCATTCAGGACACAGTTTGAAAACAGAGCCCATAGGAAGCCCTGATGGATTAGGCCCAGAGATAGAGATGTCCAAGGTTTAAGGCCCGAGTAGCTTGAAGAGAGAAGTTGCCATTTCCGAGATGGAGAAGGCAGGGGAGAAGCAGACTGTGAGGGCCAGCCGGTGGATGCCAGGGTTTCTACTCTGAGTGCACCAAGTTCAAGGGGTTATTAAGTGGAGATGGACAGGCAGCTCCACTGGCTAGTGGTCTCCTCTGCTCACCCGCTGACAGCCTGCAAGGCAAGGACCTACCTGACCAGGCTCCTGCCAGCCCTGCCATTCAATTCCTCTCTCTCCTTCTCAGCCCTACGCTTGGCTCCGTGCCTAGGTCTCCAGCCTCTTGACCGGTCACGTGCCTTTCTGCCTGACGACCCTGATCCTTCAGATGACAACTTAAACATGACCTTGCGGGAAGAGGATTTCTGGGCCACCCCACCTAGTAAGCTCCTCCTGATTCTCTCCCTGGAGGCCCCATGTCTTACCCACATGGTGCTTCCCTACTGCCCAGTTCTTTAGTTAATTTGCTCACTGGTCTTTGGTCTGTTGTCCCAAGCTCCACACAACTGGAGACCACAGACAGCAGGTCCATCAGTGGAAACACAATCGGGGTCTGTCTGTCACTGTATCCCTAGGGCCTGGTCTAGACTCTGCTACAGAAGTTTTAACTTTTGCTTTTTTAGGCAGGAAACCCTTTCCTGTGTTGGAACCCTATGCAGAAACCTGATAATGTGTTTGTTTATTTATCATGTGGATAAAACAGGTGTGCCTCTATTTGAAATGGGACTGAGGAGTCCCATCTCGTGGCCCCTGTCCTGGGAACTCTTCCCTTATAAAACTGGACGTCTTCCCAGATTTCAATAATTACAGTGGCAGAATCTCCAAGGTGGACCTTGTGTTTCTGGGAGCAAGTAAATGTCACAATTTGAAAAAATAATACAACATACTATCATCAACATTGTATTTTGCAAAATAAAGACACACACACACACATACACACACACATCCCTAGCCTGTTAGTTCCTGAGTGACAGGAACAAATAACTTTCCAAATTTCCTAGGTTGATACAAAGTTTATTTTTCACTCACACTGGGTGCCCAGTGGTACTGGCAAGGTCATGGTCACTGGGAATCTAGGCTGACCAAGGTTTGCATTGACATGTTTCCATGACTTCTGAGGAGGAAAATGGAATTTTGGATAGTCGCCACCCCTCAGAACTCTTGCCCTGAAGTGACACATTCTTTTCACTTGGTGGAGATAAATCACTTGAGCAGATCTAACTTTGATGGGGACCAGAAAGGTAAATCCTCCCAGATGCCCTGAAAGTGACAGAAGAAGAAACATTATGAAGAGCACCCCGACTCTTGAAGTTACCACGGATCATTTAATAAAAGGAAAGTCATTTTAATACTCCCCAAACAATCAAAGATAAGACTTCAAGCTGAATGGATGAGCTTTGCTCAAAACTCACACTGTGTCCTTATTTTTCTCACTTCTACTAGGGACTGGAGGGAACAATGGTCAACGGATTGACTGGGGCACACAGCAGTGTCTGTTGACTGGGGCTATGATTTACCCTCCTACTGGCCCCTTTCCTGCAAAGCCTTTCTTGCTGTGGTCTCCCTGCATCCCACGCCTCCCATCTTTCAGGGACCAGCCCCAAATCACGGAACCAGAGCCACCCCAGGCAGGGTATGTCCCCCTGGTATCCCTGTGCCTCTGGAAGCCCAGGGCCCTCTCTGCCTGATCACACTGAGGGAGTCTGACTGCAGAGGAACAGAGAGGCGGGTGGTCTCAGCTGTGCTTGTTCACACAGATGGGAAAGAGCAAGGGCAGAGCTCAGAAGTCAAGATTCCTTTTGCTGCAGGAGAGGAGACACCCCAAGGAGCCAGCAGCCCAGGCACTATTTGGTGCCTCAGCCACCCACAGGGTGGACAGTGGGGTTTGGACACTTAGACTTCTCAGGTATTTCTGGGTTCACATTTTCCAGCAGGGACTTGGAAGATGCCTCTGTGTCTCCTTCCTGCTTTGCTTTCCTCACGACATGAACTATGGGCCACTTCTGTTTCCTTGAAGGGATGCATTTGATGTTGGACAGGAAGGGGGGCGGGCACCTAACCATGCATGGTTCTGGTGCTACCATGGCTCCAGGAATATGAAGCTGTCTCAATTTTGTCAGAGTAGAATTTAATAAGAGTGGAATTCATGATATAAAGAGTATTGTTAGGCCCAATTCGGCCAATGCACATTTACCAAAGTCTAGAATAATAGTAACAATAGCCTGAATTGCCCCGCACTCTATTGTTGGTTTGAAATACGTTGTCGTATGTTCTTTCTCACTTGATCCTCATTGAGAGTATGCAGGGGTGGATTATTAAAAAGCTCAGAGAGGTTAGGTGGCTTACATAAGGTCACAAGCTACCATACCAATTCAGATACTTTGAGTGGCAAATCTTGGAAAACTGACTGCAGCCATAAAAGAGACATTCTTTAATATAATTAGAAGTCTACAATATAGCAGACTTTGAGGTAGTTGATTTTGCAGCTCAAGGATATCAGTAAGGGCCTGCAGCACTGATGCAGACCAGTACCTCTCTGTTGTCTTGGGCTAGCTGGTGATCAGACCTGTCCAGACATGATTCTGTCAGGAAAGGAGAGATGGTCTCTTGCCGGCCATCTCTGGATACTTGGAGAACTTCATCCAAAAGCATAGCCACCTCCCTTGGCCCCATGGATGCTTCCATTCTGGGTGGAACTACTACCTACTGGGCTGGAAATGACGTGATGCTCAGTCTACTCAAGCCTGGTCCTGGAACTGGGCAGGATCAACTTCACTTAAGGCACATGGCTTTCTGGTTGTTCACTCCAGTCTGTGAGAGATGGAACTGGGATTCAAATTCTGCTTCCTCCACTACATCTCAGGTGTGACCTTGCTCACTCCCTTATCTGGTCAGGAGGGATGACCATGTCATAAAATAACCACAGCAATGATGCTGAAGGTACAGCCCTTTAAACATGTGTTTAACATTAATACATATTTCAAAACATGCTTTAATATATATATATATATATATAATTTTTAATTTAAAAAAGAAATGAGTAAAAAATTAGTATACTGCCAGGTTAAGTGTAAGTGAGTACATAAAGTCTTGTTTGATAAAATACCAGTAACACATTGGAACCGTAGAACACTGGCACATTTAAAAAAATTTATTCTGTGCTAATTAGTCTATTTAGGTTCCCTACTTCTTCCTGGTAATATATATTTTTAAGAAAATAATTCATTTCATACAGATTTTCGAGTTCATAAATTTTTAATATTCTGTTATGATTTAAAAATTAAAATATTCACTCATAAAAAAATTATTCTTACCAAATGGATAAAGGTACGGTACCCTCAAAATAAGAGTGAAAAACACATTTTTTTTTTCACAGACTGTTTATGTTTTTCCTCTACTTTTGCCCCAAATCTTCAGGCAAAGTACCTTGAGCCCAGAGCTGAGAGCCGGAGTGGCCTGGTGCATTTGGGCCAGCATGGCTCCTCCTGCCTGCAGACAAATGAACCCATCAGGTTCTAGGGAACAGGTGCAAGACTTGGAAGTGAGAGGGAGGACATGTGGATTCTGCCCTGGTCCTAGCAGCACGGATGCAGACCAGGAGGAGGAGCCTGGAACCTGTGGAAAAACCTGCCTCGGGCAGCCCTGAGGAAGGGGTGGAGGCACATGGCTCGGGAACATCTCCTAGGTGCCTCCACCCATGCCCACCGGCCACCATGTCAGGATCAGTTTGCTTATGGCAGGAGGTGTTGGTTGAGCAGCTACTCTGTTCAGGTGCTTGAACACACTCTTTCCATTGCTTTTCATTATATCCCCACAGGGTGGGAATGATCACCCCCATTCCACCAAAGAGGGGCCAGGATCTCAGAGAAGTTCTCTATTAGGAATCCTAGTTAACGTGGTAGATGAGTAATGATGCCCCCAGACGTCCACATCCTAATTCTCAAAACCTGTGAATGTTACTTTTCATAGCAAAAGGGGCTTTTCGGGTGAGATTGATGAAAGACTTTGATTTGGGGATGTTACCTGAATGATCCGGGTGGGCCTGATATACTTTGGAGGGTCCTTGCAAGAAAGAGGCAGGAGGGGCAAGGTCAGAGAAAGAGATGTGACAATGGAAGCAGGGGTCGGTGCTATACAATGCAGGAAGGGACCACTAGCGGAGGAAGGCAGCGGCTTCTGGAAGCTGGGAAAGGTGAGGACACAGATTCTCAGCCGGAGCCTCCAGACAGGACTGGCCCTACTGACAGCCTGATTTTAGTCTATAAATCCATTTTGAACTCTGCCTTCTAGCACTATAGAATAATAAATATGTGGTGTTTGAAGCCGCTTGGTGGTAATTGTTATAGCAGCAACTCGGGGCTAATACAGTTCAGCAAGGAGTGGAGTGAGTTTTTGAATCAAGCCTGTCTGGCTTTGGCATCCATTCCACCATGGGCCAGGTGGGTGCCAGGCCTGTCACTGCCCCTCTGTTTCCAGCTATAGGAGAACATATCTGTCAGGGGCCAGCAGAGGTCCTATGAGGACTTACACTGTAGATAATAGAGCTGGGCAGCAGAGGAGGCTGTTGGAGCTGGTTAAGGAAAAGTAACAGAGACAGGACCCAGTGAGTGGCTTGATGTGACAGCAAGGGAGAGGGGGGACCTTAGGACGAGGCCCTAATCTGACTTGAGCCACCATGGAGGAGGGGAGGTGTCGTTCACCTTGATGAGCCACCTGGAAGGGAGCTGGTTGTCTTGTGACAATGAAGTTGGATTCTGGCCTCTGATATTTATGTGGAATGGACCCTGGAGAGGGGAAGATCCTATGGGTCTCAGGGTCCGGAGAGTGGCTTGGGGGGGCCGCAGAGATCCAGGCATTGAGAGCGAATCTGCAGATTTGGCTGAAATCATCCAAGGAGAGTGCAGAGAAGAGAGGAGAGCCAGCCATGCAAGCTCAGGGAACCAACAATAAGGAGCAGCCAAAGGAAGGGGACTTGGTGCCGGTGGCAGGCAAACCGCCAGCGGCCGCACCATGGAAACCTGGGGAAGACAGCGCTGGGAGGAGGGGCCGGGGAGATGCCAGGGAGCGCTTGACAGCATCAAAAGCTGACTGGGGCTGGAGTAAGACGTGTCATTAGGTTTGGGAATTCAGAATCCATTGGTGACCTCGGAGAGAGCCGTTTCCATGGAGAGGCAGGGTACAAACCAGGCTGCACCGGGCTGAGGAGGGAGAGAGAGGGGAGGATGTGAGATGGCAGGTCACGGAGGGATGTGTTGATTTCACTGGGAGATGTGGTACAAACCACTCCAGAGACAGCCAGGACGCGTTCCAAGCCACAGCGGGAAGGGGACATCATTCTCTAATATAAAACGACAAAAATCTACTCCGAAGCTTGACACTCACACCACGTGGTGATCTAAATGTGAAGTGGACAAAGCAGCAATGTGATAGAGAACCGGGGACCCAGGGGTGTGGCCACTGCCACCACAGAACTACCCAGCCTCTGTCCTGAGAACT